AAGTCCTCTGGAAATCTTCAATAATTGTTGTTGATTGCAGATGTGTCTAGTAGTTCCCATTGATTTAGCTTGGAAAGCGGGGAGAATGGCGCTAGGCTTACCGCACCGTGACGTCACTGCTGGAAGTTGGTAGGAGGGAGGGGCTACTATATTTGGGGAAAAATGGCCGCTCCCAGACTCAGTGATTTTTATTGATTAAAGCTAAAGTCATTAAATCACTGTGAATGTATTAGTTTTAGGTATAGATAATGATCCATTGATTATTCCTTGTTGACTTTCCATCCATCTGCCAGGCTTATCCTAAGTGGGGTCTACAGGGGCGTATCTACAGCTGTTTACGGACAAGAGGCGGGGTCCACCCTGGACAGGTCTCCAGTCCATCACAGTCAATGCAGAGACAAACAACCATTCACTCACACCTAAGGGGGATTTAGAGAAGCCAATTAATCTAACAGGTCTGTGGGAGGAAGCCGGAGTACCTGGAGAGAACCCATGCTTGCACAGGGAAAACATGCAAACACCATGCAGAAAGACTGCGGGCCGGGAATTGCTGCAAGGCAGCATTGCTACCCATTGCCCCACTGAACAGCCCTTTTTCCTTTAAACTAAATAATCTTTTTTAAATAACTGGAAGCAGAGCAATTGGACAGACAGGCTATCAACATTTTACACAACACCCCTTGGCCAACAGGACAGCACTCAGCCTCGTCCTTAATATTTTACAGGAGTGCAGCACAGAGAGAGAGAGATGTTCTCTGTAGACTGTTCATAGCATTGGACCCTTTATTGGATCATATCATATTTTATGCCTAGTGAACCGTTTCTCTGTCTGTCCGCCTGCTGGAAAGAGTAATGACCTCTTGTTTGTTCACAGTCAAGGCTCTTAAATCAAAGATTTGTATGTAACTTTCATCACAGATCAGCATCCCCACTGAGCAGTGAGGATGAGGTGCCTTCTGTATGTTCATTGTGTGTTTTACAACCAACCAACCAGAGGACAGGGTTTCTGCATTCCTATTAAATCAAATTACCTTGACATGCGTCCTATCTATGTTTGATGTTGCCACAGAGCGCAGGCTGAAAATATGGAAAATCTGAAAAATTAGACTTTAGGGATGGAATGATGGATGAATTTTTAAGCAAAACGGTAGAATATAAAGTTTGAAAATGAAAATGTTTCTTTTATGTTTTCTTTTTCCAGGTTGCACTGAAGAGCTGTTGTTGCTCTGCAGCAACAAGGTAATGGGTTTGAAACCCAGTCTGGAGTATTCCATTTTTCCTCTTCTTTTTTTAAGGTCTTCCTGCGTGGAGTTTGCATGCTCTCCACATGTTTGCATACATGGGTGGCCTCCAGGTACTTCCTTTCCATACTCCAAAAACTAAATTGAAGGATTACTTGGTGTTTAGAAAAGGCTCCTTAGATCTATGTTATTATGCATGGTTGTTTGTGTTTCCATGTGATGGACTGACTGCTTGCTAAATGACTGGAGATAGGTGCCACCTCCTTTAAGCAGCTTTGCATTAATACACTGGTAGAGAAAATGTCTGACCAAAGTGCAAATTCATGTTATTTCACAATTTAGCCAAATCCAGATTTTTGATGGAAGGGCAGAGAAAGTCCCATTCAAACTATTCTCAAAAAGGTTGGCAACTGGAGTTTCTGAGATATTTTGGCTTCCTTTACCATCCTGTTCATGTTAGGAATCCAGTTTGTGTGGGTTGTGTTTTTGTGTTGTTCTCTCCCTCCACCACCAGGTGGTGCCCTGTTCTCATTGGTCCTCTCACACACCTGTGGCTGGTTGGCTCATTACTGAGGACTATTTGAGCGGTTGACTGTCACTACCTGACGCCAGAGTGTTTGCCAGTTTTGGGTACTCTAGCCAAGCTGAGTTTAGCTGAGTCTAGCTTAGTCTTTGTTGTCACTGAGCCTAACCTTGTTTTTGTCTTTGCCTTTTCAGCAGGAAGCCTTCCTGCAAGCTGGATGTTGGCCTTCTTCCCCTGGAAGGATTGTTTGAGTCTCACACTGAGCAGGGGATTAACCTCCACATGTTCCGTTCAAGTCCTCCTGGATTTCCAAGTGACAGTCCTCTCAATAGCTCCTCAGGATCCAAACAAGTCTAAACCTGTCCGCTCTCCAACGAGTCTCTACCTCTGGATAAACCCACACTTACTGGATTCTGGGAAGAAAGTTTTCTCCACTAACGTGAGTCCCATTTTCTCTGTCTCTCCAGCCATCGTTCAAAGTTCCCACGGATCCTGAACTAACCGCTGATTCTTCCCTTCACTCTTGCTGTTCCGGTTCACCAGCACACTGAGTTTCCTGAATCCAACCCCCGCTGACATTATCAATAAACCTGTTAAAACTCTTACCCTGGTTCTCTGAGTGGTTTACTGCATGTGGGTCAGATCTCTTAAGAAAGTCATGACAGTTCACTGCATTTGGAAGCAAAGTAAAATGTCCAGTGGCCAAAAGAAACCAGAATCTGTGTAAATAAGATTCAATATTTTAAATTTTGTACGTTATTTTTGTTCTCCGACTAGATGTCCTTAAAGATTTTTCACATATTTCAGCATTAGATTTGCCAACTGCAATGTAAGAGTTAGTCTTATTAAACATTTTGTATACGAGTTGTTAAGAAATACACAAGAAGTAGAAGAAATGCCGAGGATAATGTCGCTAATAGCACCAACTAACTATGACTGCATGACTGTATTTATATACAGCAGCAATCACCGTCGGAAAATAAAATTGATGAAAATTTGCAAAAACATTTATTGGAAAATAAGTTTCTGAAAGTGATTTTCTGTAGAATTATAAAATGAAAATCTTTTTTACTGATGATAATTGTTTTTGGTAAACCAAAAAAATAATTTAATCACTAGGTCTATTTTGCCCTGGAACTGAAAAAGCTAAACTAGTGAACTTAAACATAATATTCTCTGATGAAGTTAGAATGAAATTACTCACCTTGGCAAAAATGCAGCTGTCACTCAGCGTCCATGGCTTGCAGGTTTCCTCACACATGGGACACATGATGGTTGTGTTGGCCTCACAAATCTCCTTACTGAAGGGACAGTGAGTTTAAAAAAATATGTCCATAGATATGGCTAACCTTTGCTAGCTCACACTGGGTATAATAAAGAAGTTAACAGGTATTTTTATGACATTTTAAGCTTGAACTGTGAACTGACCTCACTTGACTTGAATCCATGGTGAAGAACCCATAGAGGAAGACAAAAACACCAACGAGGGCTGCAGGGATTAACATGCCAGTGTACCAGCCCAGCCACGCAAAATATAGGCCAATTTTCTCTCCAAAGTAGCGTCTAGGAGTAACACAAAGGCAGAAAGTGATTAAAAAGTACTAATGTTCTCCACTGAGCCTTAATTGAACTTGGCAGTGTACTTTCAGAGCAGCCTTGTGGGAGTAGTTAGTTAGCTCTGAGATGGCAGCTTAATGAATTAAAGAAGCTGTTGAACTGAAAGGTCACTGTAATGCGAAACAAATCAATAAGTGTCTCATTCCTAAACCACAGCTGCCACAGTTTCTAAGATCACGTGTCCCACTTACACCCCTGTAAAGCAAATCATTTAAGGTGCAATTAGAGGTCAGTGTTCACCATGAAGCCAGAAGAGCTGTTGAATCTTAGTCTCTTAGCTTTCAAACACCAGCATCCCATAACAATTTCCTCTATAAACTTGGATAATCCCAACCCTTCGGCACCTCTTGGGATCTCTGACGTCCTGGCTCTGACTCTCCGGCACTCTCGACACTCTCGAAGCTAATAAACGTTTTAAGAAATCTAACTCTTTGTCTGCCGCAAATACTGGGTAATACTGGGAGACA